TTGAGGGAAGGTTAGTATATAGCCTTGGAAGAGAGGAAGCCCGGGGCTTGTGAGTTCTGGCGCAAAAGGCAACCCGTGAGTATCACTTCTGTGAAGTTTTATAATAAAATGAACCGTTCTTCACGGTTCCTAATCATGGGGCCCATTGAGCAGAGATGCTCCTTTATTCAGATAGATTCTCAAAACCCATTGCAAAATCCGAGAAATTTTTTCACACAAAAGATAGGATGCGTAGTATGTAGGACACTTAATCAGTCTTATCAAAAAACTACGTTAAGTGAGCATGTTATCGACATATCGAGCAGTGCACAATGGAGTGACCCCTTCTGAAGAGAGGTGACGTTGCCGAATATCAGTGACGCTTTGTCACTGCACAAAGTAGTCTGTAATCGAAATTTCAACGATTTTTGAGTGTGGGGTGCTAATAACTGAGTAGGGTGTCGGTTTTGCCTATAGTGATATTTGGATGCAGAGCCGCTTTAGCTTATTCCTTCGTGTACGTCAATATTCGATTTAGCGAACGGCGAGATTCAATTCTATGATCAATTCTAAGTTCTCATTGTTCATTCAACATACCATGAAAGAACTAGAAATGTATGAGCCTGTCATTTGATCTTGTTTGCTTGGTGTTATGTATAAGAATGTCTTATTGAGCTAAAATCTTTTGAAATTGTACAAGACTGATCGCTAAGCGGCACACCCATCTTGCAGCGACTGAAAAGTGTGTTTTTCAGAGCACTGATACGATCTCGTACAAGTCTGCTCCCACGGATGATGTTCAAGTGGTGCCTTGTGTTATCAGGAAGAAGCCGCGGTTTGCGCCAAAGATTCTAAAAAAGAAGAGCTCGTTGAATAAAGTGTCAAAGGAACCGAATGTGAAACACGTCACGTTTGAGGTACAGTAAATTTTGAACCATCTTATTTCAAAAAGCCTTGGGTATAGAATTAGACATTTTTTCGGGGACATGTTCAATTCAAGGGCAACAGTGTCAGCTGAATAAATTAAAAGAATCACTCCGTTAATCAAATTGGAGTTGTCATGTACTATAGTACCATTTGTTATTGAAAAGGTAAGGCATCTATTATGTAAGGAGTTTAAGTAATCAATTGTACTTATCAGGAGGGGGGGGGGTTGAGTAAGAAAAAACATTAAGAAATGGTTTTTAGCTCCTCATTTTTACAAGATCTACTACACAGAAGTAAAGAATGCCTAGTGTGGAACCCGTAAAGTAGAACACCAGTAAATTAGAGAATGTGCGACGTCCTAAATGAACGATTACTGGATTCTCTCTAAAATAACTTGTTGACTGGAGGGTATCTAGGATTTTAGCGGCATTTTCATCTCTATCCCATTCCATTTTTATTCCAAAATCGACAGGTTCCGCTCATTACAAGCGAACATTGATTGTGAGGCTCTCACGTAGCGAAGCGAGGTGCGCAACCTTAGGTTACTTTCAGTGCAAGATAGTGTTACCGACCACCTGACAATTGCATACAATGTTACCTCGCATTGGAAACGCTTGCTTTACTGCTTCTGCATTTTATCAAAGCCACGTCCTATGATATGAAGATCTCATTCACTTTTAAGTTTTGGACTCCGCTCTCCGTTTGGACTGGAGAAAAAATTTCGAGAACGCTACTGTGTTTCTTGCAGCAGTCCATTGCATCTTTTGGTGTTCAATCTTTATACTGAAAGCCCAATGTTGTAACTAGCATTCAGAAGCTTCTTGGAAAACTATTAGCTTAACTATTGAAGTTCATAAGTATGAAACTATTGCAGGTGGAGCAGCTCCTGTCTCGGGAAGGCAACATACAGGATCGCAGTGCAGCTCGTGAACGCCTTGTTGTGAGTTTTTTCTGTAAATGACGAATTATTACGCACGCACTTCCTTGTGACAAAAAAAAACCTTGTGTGTTGGTGTACATGAAAATGTGTTAAAGTGCAGTGAGCGCCTGACTGTATTAGACGCAGCTAAGCATTATGGAAAGATCGCCAGGTCCTTTGAGATGAGTTGCATCTCCCATTTACATGTGTCTTAGATCGTTGATTCCAAAGCGCATTTCCAAATCTGCTTAACGATGTTTTTTAACAGAATTACTACTAGAAACAGAGTATTGCTAGTGCTTCGTAATCGCAGACCTGAGATCATAGATTCGACTCATTGCGATTTTGCTCCTTTATATTCCCCAGAAGGACTAGAAAAGTCTATACTCACTACTATAATCTATACTCGATACTTGCAATATTTGCCTGCATACAAAGTTGTGGCTTGCTCCTACCACGGTTATGCGCTTTTGATCTCTGTTTGTTCCATGTTGCTCATTGCGCCCGCGCCAAGTGAATTCTCCCTAAAGATACGTAATAACTTCGTATAGCACGCCATCACTTCCTGCATTCAGTATAATGGTCGGAGGGCAAATTATACATCAACCATTGGCGCCGCACCATTGCGCGCGCAACACAGATCTGCGGCGAATTTTGATGGTGCGACGAAAATTTTCAAATTTGGCTTGATACACCACGAATATCTGAATTCTCAGCTAAATTCTATCCGCTCCATCATCGACGGCTTTCAACCTCTTTTTCTTCGTCAACCATTATCCTCTTTTTCCCGGTCTCCGGACTGCTTCCGGACAATAAATCTCGTGGCAAACTCCGCCTACTTCGGTGCGTGCCCCGCCCACCAATAGCATTTGACCTCCTTTCCTTCGCCGACCTCTACCCCTTTTTCCCGGCCTCCGGGACTTCTTGGAGCCGAGTTATGAATTTTCGTCGCAAACTCCGCCCACTTTGGTCAAGCCCCGCCCACCGATGACAGCTGGCCTCCACTCCTCCACCCACCTCCATCCACCTTTTTCCCTGCCTCCGGGACTTCTTGGAGCCGAATTACAATTTCGGCGCAAACTCCGCCCACATTAGCGCACGCTCCACCCAACCGTAGCAGTTAACTTCTCTTTCTTTGCTGACCTATATCCACTTTTTTCCCGTTCTCCAGGACTTCTTGGAACCAAGTTATGAATTTTCCTGGGTAACTCCGCCCACTTTGGACATGCTCCGCCCACCAATGATATTCTAGCTCCACTCCTTCACCCACCTCCATCCACCTTTTTCCCGGTCTCCGGGACTTCTTGGAGCCGAGTTATGAATTTTCGTCGCAAACTCCGCCCACTTTGGTCATGCCCCGCCCACCAATGGCATTTAAGCTCCACTCCTCCACCCACCTCTATCCACCTTTTTCCCGGCCTCCGGGACTTCTTGGAGCCGAGTTATGAATTTTCGTCGCAAACTCCGCCCACTTTGGTCAAGCCCCGCCCACCGATGACAGCTGGCCTCCACTCCTCCACCCACCTCCATCCACCTTTTTCCCGGCCTCCGGGACTTCTTGGAGCCGAGTTATGAATTTTCGTCGCAAACTCCGCCCACTTTGGTCAAGCCCCGCCCACCGATGACAGCTGGCCTCCACTCCTCCACCCACCTCTATCCACCTTTTTCCGGCTCTTTAAGACTTCCCCGGCCCGAATTATGAGGACTTGTAGAAAATGCTGTACACTTCAGAGCGCGCTCCGCCCATTGTGGGCGGGCCTCCGCCCACGTCATGTATGCTGGAAACACCTTAGACATTGCTCCCTTACACCAATTTGTTTTCTGCTCTGTAGGCTTTCTCCCAACCGAGTTATGAAATTTTTCATAAAGCACTGCTTTTTTGGAGAACGCCCCGCCCACCGGGGGTGGGTCTCCCTAATTCGATGTGACTTACCAATGCACACCTTTACCCACTTTTTGGCCCAGTTTCGAGGCTGTTTTGTCACTGAAATTGAAATCTTGGTCGTCAGTACAGTTCATTTCGATGCACGCCACGCCCACTGTGGGCGGGGCTCCGCTTAGCTGATGTGTGTTTTGTACTTCGTGAGACCTTGCCCACCCATCCCACACTTGACCCGGTCCCTCCAGGCGGATCCCGAGGAGCTAGGGAATTTCGTGACAGACATACAGAACGACAGACGACAGACGACAGACGACAGACGACAGACGACAGACGACAGACGAAGCGCTTTATAGTTAGTAGGATAGATTATGGTAGGCAACATTGTAGAACATATGACATAAAATACTTTCCGCGAGTCTATCTAACATGTTGAACCCTACTCTTGCGTCCGCAATCCAACCAATCGTGCATCGCTGCCTTAGCCCTCCGGTTTGGCCAAAGGGAGAACTGCTCAAAGAAACCACTGTTCACTTGGTGCGAGAACTAAGGAAAAGATACGCGCATCTTCCAAGCGCACAATAATCTTAACGATATAAAAGTCCGCATACCAGGTGAAACGCAGTGGGCAAGGCGCACATTTGCAAGTTTCTAAAGCGCTGCTGTTGTAATGGTTCACGATGCACGCCTCGTCAATTAAAGTCGGAAGTCAGCTACAAAGCGAGCTAATATGTTCAACGTGTCTTTTGCCAGGAATACATTTCGTGCATAAAGTCTAAGCGATCGTGTGTGTATGTGACGACTCAGTAACTACATCTTGAGTCGACTTGCAAGTACCCGAGTGAGCAATTCGGCCGACCACTCCGTAAGCCGCTTTGGAGCAGATTCCGAGATCGCGTCCGCGCACACACCACATTCCTACCCACTAAGTGCATAGGTCGAAGCACTCGATTTCTATCTTGTGAGTCTCAATATGGCCCATTTGCATCGACCTGTCACTTGACGATCGTAATTTGTATCAGAGAGAACACACATTAGATTTGTATAGAAATAATTTTTTGTGATTTGAGTATATTTCTAAGTGCATTATCTGTGTAGTCCATATTAGTAGAATGAAAAGAGGTTTCCGAGATTGCCTGTGCTAAGTCTAAGTGTCAAGCGTAAATCCTTTGTACTTATTTTTTAGAGGCCCAATGACGCCATGCAACGTGTGAACACGATCTATGTCCAGTCGGTATATTGGGCAGATGCGTTCTTATTACAACGCTTGTAACTTTATGATTCTGCACACTGGTTTTTATCAGAAAACACAAGCGTTGTTCACGCTGAGTAGTTTACGATACCGCCGGCTTTCTAGCGGGGAGAAACAAACGTGACCTGGTAAACTAATAATTCGAGAGAGTGTGTATGAGTAAAAAGATTTGGTTGAGACTGAGCTCAGACGATTAGAAGTCTGATAATCCTAAAACTCTTGATGCACTAGCAAGAAATCATCCTTGTGGGAGGGAGGGTCCTGGTTTCGCCAACTATGGCTCTATCACTATAACCCTGCTCCATGAATTCGGGTGTACTAAAACTCGCTCAATTACGATGGCGCGCTTAGCACTCGAGAAGTGATCGTTTGGCAACACTCCTCCCATGAATACGCTTCTTACGAACGAGAAACTACTTCGCGAAATTTATCATCAGATCTGCGTAGGATATCGCACATTCGATCGAGCTATTATGAGTTTATGTAATAATACTGTTGCCCTTACTGCTCAGAGTTGGACGAGACTGTCTGTAGGCTGAGGGTATTTTTCTGTTACGCACTCTGACATTTATAATATCATGACTCGTCCTGCGCTTGAAGGGCTATCGACAGTGTGGGTTGCAAGCGTTCGACGATCGTACGCCGAACGAAGCCACTTTTGTGAAACAGTTCTTAGATGGTCCTCCTACTGATTGGCCGCTTCTGGACGAGGTTCTTTCGGAGAAAGAAAAAGCACGTGAGCGGAGAGCACGACCGGCTCTATTAGTAAGCGAGGGATTGCACAAATGGGTCCTCGAGTGTATAGAGACTATCAATCTCTGAGGAGAAATCCTACGCCACAATGGCGCTGGTAGAGAAAGCGATGAACCACTGAGCTGAATTACTCGATTCCCTTTTGCTCGTAGGTTTTTTTTGGTTGATCTCGGCCTGAACCGTCTTCGCGACTAGACACGATGGAGAGATGGGACTAGTATCGTTATTGTGAGTGTTTTGCGTAGAGGGATAATAGCCATTCCGATATAAGGTCGGAGTATTATTGAACAATCGGGGAAACTTAAGCGTGAAGCTGAATAGGCAGACGTAGTCGTCTTCTAACGTAATGCCAAACCTAGAATGCCGCATTTTGCCACTCGCGGAAGGGAATGCCTCCAGCTGCAGGCCTATGAGCAGTGAGAGCAGTCTATGCTAAGAAAATTTTTCTCGGCACCTCGCCTGGGCCGTTGCACACCCAACCTTGTCGCCGGTCTGACTCTAGCGTCTTGCAAAGAGAGCACGTACCGTTGCAAGAAGGTAGTACCGGATGAGAGTGGGCAATCAATGCCGGAAGATCGACAGGCCACACGAAAGAGATCCCATTTCTCGGTTTGAGCAACTTCTCATGGTTATCTCTCTTCACTCCTGTCAATTGTCCACCCCCACCTTGGTTTCTAATGAGCTTCCTTTTCATCGTGAACTCCGCCTTTAAAGGAGATTTCTCGAACCTTGCCACGATCAGGCATTCGAGAAGAACGACCTAACTCTCAAAATGCCCACATCAATAAAGTCTATACCTCAAAATTTCGATGGTAGAGGAAAACATTATAATAACTCTTACCAGGGTTCCATTATGGGAGCCACAAAATACAGTAATAATGAAATATTGAACTGCAGTTTTTTTGCTCCTGTTTACTCTCCTGCCAAACATGGAGCTGTTGATCAGAGAACCTGAGAGTTGTTTTACACAAGATTAACCTTATCATTGTTCATTCCGAGATATCACTCCTACTAATCCGATAAGGGGCCATTAGCACCATGTGCCCACACCGCGAGTCTCTGTACTACGCTACTATTGATGGGTTATGATGACATTGTGATTGTGACAGCAGAGTCGCAGGAAATGCTGGAAATTTCCCCAATCCTATTGGATTTTCCGTTTGCCGTCTGAGGGGGAAATACCGCGAGAAAGCGAGAATTCCTCATACATCTTTGGAAGATTCCAGCTTGCAGTCATCAGTAGTAATGACCGCCCCTTTCTGAGGCAAAGCCTTACTCTTTGAACTGTACCTACACAGTCTCCTATCATATGCCTTTGACATCGTATTGCAACTGTTTCCATATATTTCAGCGAGATCGGGTGAGAACATGGTACGTTTACATTATTAAGGTTAATTCCTTAAAATTAAGAACTGAAATTTTTCGAATTCCATTGAACATAGAATATTTATTATTGTGACTATGAGGGTTTTTATATATGGATTAATTTGTCCTTAAAGACTGCGTGCAATGGATGAACGGAAGAGTGGTTTTGACGACGTCATAGGGGTCATTGAGAGTGATGATCCCACTCACACCCCAGCACCCTTCCACCAATGATGTTCAATGACGTCATCAAAACCGCTCCGCCTACGCGCCATTATATCCGCTGTCTTTAAAAGTACGTATACAGCTCAGCTGAGTTAAAATGAAACAGGATCTGTGTCGTAAACTAGCATTTCAGCCTCAAAGCACGGGCTCAGGGCTCTGTTTCGTTTGAGGCAAAATAAGTAGCCCAAAACTTAGCGCCCTTGTACGAACTTCACCCAGCTCACCAGTTTGGGAAGTTGTTCCATCTAAAGACTTAGCAGTAGTACATAAATGGGGCTAGGTTGTGTTGTGGACAGAGACAGCAAAAAAGCAAAAAAGACAGAGCAAAAGACCGAACCACTTAAAGATTATGGATCCTAGCCGGAATAGTGTAGTAGGAAGTGGCACGTCTTTACACACAGAGAGTCTGGCGTTCAAATCCTGAACCAAGCCTTGCATCCCTCAGGGCCTAAGAAGTATCAATAACCCAGAGCAATGAACATTAGCTTTACATTCTGGCAATCCCCCGACTCTTGTTTCGCATGACCATATTCAGATGTCATATACAGATTCTGCATAGGTTGTAGGAATGCATGCGGCATGCTGTAAAGGGCCTATTCACATCCAAAAACCGCTTTTTTGCTTCATATGCTATTATGTCATTTTCTAAAGGTCACTTGTTCCCAACGCGAAACTTCCCTTATTAAAATAATTATATATTATATATATATGTAATTAAGTAAAACATAATTTATAATCACCTTATGAAATCACCATGGCAGCCATCCCTACCACCTGTCACTCTCATAGTGCAACTTTAAGTCAAATCGGATCGCTTCAAAATTATTATCATTTCGTCGCTCTCCCCATTTAGATAAACTCGTGTAGGGGAGAGGGGAACAATTGGGGAAGTCTTCTAAGACCGGTGGTGGTGGAGGGGCGTCGCATCGAGGCCCCTCCTAAGGTGGAGGGTCGCAACATTTTAGAAAACACCCCGGGCTCTGCTACTTCGCTAGAGTGTGCTGCCACGGAATAATAAATGTTGCTTTTCTTTTCGGCTTTCTATTCTATTTTTGTGAGAGTTGACCGGTTTTCATTAGCAATGCGTTCCACAAGAAAGAATAACAATCGACGTAATAACTTCGTATAAGCGGAGAATTCTCGATAAGCGGTAGAATTCTACATTTTAGATCTCGCAACAATGAAGCAATACGCATAACAATCCTCAAATATATTGCCACAACAAAGTTTTCGCAAGCATAGGAAGGCTACATACACTCAAGCCTGCTGATCCATAAATTCACGTGCATCGATGAACAACACATCCCCTATTCTGCGCAGTTCGAACTGAGACTCCAAATCCCCGTGCCAACACAAAATATTGCTCTTCAATCGTCATCCCCCTAAAGGCTCTCAGATGCAAAACTTTTTCCTTCCATTTCACTTTCAGCTATTCTCTTTCAGGGCTTGTCTGTCTCTCTCCGTTAGCACAATGAGCCAACAGTGGTCATTTCTGGACCTCGAGTCGATTTAGAGCCGATGTCAGACTTTGCGAATCGCGCGATTCGCTAGCTTACTGTGTCCGTCGCCGGCCACTGTAATCATCTGCAATTGGTATCTGGCATATGGCTGGTATCGCAAGCGCGACGCAGAGCTGAGCGAATCGCGCAATCGCTAGTTAGCGTAATCGCAAAGTCCAATTCGCCAAATCTTGACATTCGACTTAAAGGACGAATTCACGATGAAAAAAGCAACCCATTCAAATTAACCTAGGGATGGTGAGTGGTACACGAAAGAAGGAAGAACCATGAGAAACGGCCCAGAACCCGAGAAATGGACCCCTTCCTTGCCCGTTGATTTGAGCATTGATGCGACTCTCATCGCTGTGCCCTCTTCAACACTACGCTCTCTCTGCTATCTAATCACTCGCCACGTATAGACCTGCGGCGAGTGATCAGATGGTCGGTGGGCGTGCACTGGCCCACCGCGCCAAGATTGAGCCTTAATAGGTCGCCGAGGTCAACTCCTTCGGTGCCAATTGCGCTTCAGTCCGCACCCTTAGGAGGTCCGCGGGTCCCTCAACTAGGTGAATTACTCCTTCTTCGACCTTCATTCTAATCGTGAATTCGTCCTTTAATCCCGTTTTCCAAAACCTAGTTATTGCGTTCTTTCGCGCTGTGGTACTAACCAGGAAATGCTTTGAACTTCCCATGGAACTTTGAAAGGAGACCTAGATGTATCGATAGAGTCTTGAACGCTGATTACAAATATGGACACTAAAACTGCTACGTGAACTTCCTAAGAAAGTTATGAGCCTTCAAAGTTGGCAAAAACGTTACTGAGGCGAGCTTACCTGGTGGAATCACAGTCGCCGTGGCTCTGCGCCAAAAACGAGTCTCATATTCGTAATCAGGGCACCCATTTACCCTTATAGAACAAGTTCCAGGCAAAAAGCAACCGTGTTTCCACATGGATTGCACCTCATCATTAGCGTTCTTTTGTACTTTTGAGGCGCAACACTTTCTAGGCCGATGTCAGACTTTGCGAATCGCGCGATTCGCTAGCGTCTGCGGTCGCGTCGCGGCCAGTGAATCACTCAATTGGCTGGTACCGCAACGCGACCGCGGACGCTAGCGAATCGCGCGAATCGCTAGTAGCGAATCGCGCGATTCGCAAAGTCTGACATCGGCCTTACAAGT